GATACTACAATGTTCGGCCGCACAAATTGCCCCGGGAGCTCCTGCACTCGTCTTCAGCCCGCCTTGCCACAACAGCGACCATCACCATCACATAGTGACATCGCTGCGTCGAAGTTTGAGCCACATGTTGCCTCCACTGACGTTCAGGGCCCCGTGGCCCCCGTCGTGGCTCATGACATTGAGCTAGATGAGCAACCGGCACCTAGATATGGTTGAGAAAGGTGTCACAAATATGTGTGTGGCGAGACTTCACAGTCTTCGCGGTCTGGTTGGAGCGGTGGGGGGGTGGAGCGAGGGTGACACCTCTAGGGTGGAGGCCATGCGGACGCTGTCAGGCACCCGTCGCACATCGGACCTCACTACAGCCTCACAAGACGAAGTGAGGAAAGGAGGACGAGTGAGAACAGGCTACAGAGGCACCACGACTGAGCACCTCAACAAAGCCCGAGGATGCAAAGGAGAGTGAGGACGAGGCAGACAGCGATAGCGGCGATCGGAGTGACAATGCTGCCCGCGACGCCAAGGAGAGCGACGAGGAGAGCACAGATGAGGGGAGTGACGCAGAGGGCAAGCAACGACAACAGCGGAGAGTGACACCGACAACGAGGATGTCCCCATTGGACGAGAGTGATTGTGGGGTTTCTTATTTCTCGGGGGTCGGACACCGTGATTTGCTCTATATTTTATTTGTTTGTATTTATTTATTTGTTTAATTCCATAGAGCATGTCCGATTGGGTATTGCCAGTTTCGCAGGCAGCTTCAGTTTATAGGTTACTACCTCGATACACAGACATGAACGACATGAGGCTGCAGTATGGTTTTTTAAGATTTTCAATACCAATTCCAGAAGCTACTGTGCAGTGTACCATTGTGGTGTCGTGTACGTTTCTCAAAGGCAGTTGACGCAGATTTTGACATTGCTCGACAACAGGCCCCATGCCGCACACCCAGCCAACGCACACGCATTCATTTTTCTCCCTCGCACATGTGGCGTGTCCAACTGCATTTGAACCCGCGCTCAGGAGAATTGAACGTGCGGGTTTGTACGTGAACACACTTTCATCGTGTTCACACATCAACACATCACCACCCAGTACCTTCGACCCAGAATATGTTAGTGTTTGGCTGTGTGCATGTGCATGTGCACATGCTCATGCGCATGTGTAGGGATGGGCTTGCTTTGTGCCTCAGCGGTGAGGATGGAGGGATGTGTGTGGTGCACGGGTTCATTGACAGTGGCACAGCCATGGCCCAGGGGCAGGCCCACCCAGGTACGACCATTATCTGGCCCCACCGCGGCGAAGCCATGGCCCAGGGGCAGGCCCACCCAGGTACGACCATTATCTGGCCCGGGCGACATTGAGGATGTTTGTCTTAAAACATGAGGGACGCGCAGCATTCGGCAGGCGGGATCGGGACAATGTATCAGCACGCCGTCGGATCCTTTATAAATCAGAACTATTTTATTGTGGTCGCCGCCAGATTTTAACTCACGTCTGCAATTCAACAGTTTTATGCGTGCATGAACTGAGCAGCCTGCCAATGTGCTAAATGAGAAGGAATCTTTTGCAAAAACATAACAAAGATACACCGCGATGGACAGCTACTTTGAAAAGAAACGTCGGCGGTGTGCGTATCGACTAACGAGCTGTCAGATGCTAATGCCATCTCTCTCTCTCTCTCTCTCTCTCTCTCTCTCTCTCTCTCTCTCTCTCTCTCTCTCTCTCTCTCTCTGTGCTGCTGCTGAGAGAGAGAGAGAGAGAGAGAGAGAGAGAGAGGGTAAGTCTCCAACCTCGCGGCTGGCCTCCAACTACTTCCATCAGTAGGATGAGCAAAATCGAATGAATCCACTGCTAGAACATGAAATTATACACTGCCATGCTTGTGCTTTTTTTTTTTTTTTGCGTGTGCGTGTGTGTGTGTGTGTGTGTGTGAGAGAGAGAGAGAGAGAGTGAGAGAGAGAGAGAGAGTTTTCCAGCCACTCACACAGAGAGAGAGGCTACTTCCATCTGTAGAATGAGCAAAACCGAAATGAATCTCCCGCTAGAACATGGAAATATACACTGCCATTTTATTTATTTTTTTGTGTGTGTGTGTGCGTGTGAGAGAGAGAGAGAGACACACACACACAGAGGGAGACAGAACAGGCAAGTCTCCATATCTTTTTTGTCTCGTGTGCATTGCAACTTAAGTCTTCATATCTTTTTGGTCTTTTGTGCATTGAAACCGAACTCCCTATAACGCGCAGCTATGGCCTCGACCACGCTGAAAAGGGCTGCTATGAACTTGTATTTGAACGTCGCGAGTGGAAGCGGCCTTAAACTCGCACAGGTGCTGTGCGCGAATGGAAAACCCACAAGCGGGGATGAAACTACGACGCGTGCGGGCCTTCAAACTCGCGCCACGGCGGCCAAAAAAAAACCAACAATTTCAGCGGGTTTCCCTTGGGGCCCCACGCCTTGTCCCTCACTATTTCCCAACACGGAGCATGGCCGGGCCCCACGCCTTGTCCCTCACTATTTCCCAACACGGAGCATGGCCTCGCGGAAGCATCACGCAAGACCTGCTGTTACCTTCATAAAAAGTATAGGCAAGGAAAAGACGTCCAACACAAAAAGTATAGACAAGGAAAAGACGTCCAAGTGAGGCCTATTAGTGGAGGGAATACGAGCATCCCCCACTAATAGGATTCCCTAGAAGGTGGCACTAATCTGGTGGAGAGCTACATCTGCTGGGGACCGGGTGGAGAGCAGGCACCAAAATTGACTTGTAATCATAGACGGTGGACAGCAATGATTACCCTCGTGCGAGGTGGATTGACTGCCCAAGCACACCATCCAATTGGTAACCATAGCCCCCACCCAAGGTCGTATCTGGGAACAACGGTGCACAACTTAAACCGCCCCACCTTCTCAAAATTAAAATTACGGTCAAACCAAGCAAATCAGATCAAATCAAACCGCCCCACCTTCTCAAAAATAAAATTACAGCCAAACCAAGCAAATCAGATCAAATCAAATGTGTCCAACCAATCGGCACAACCTAAACCTGAGCCGACGACCTTGAGATAGGGTATTGCTTTTAGGCGAGCTGCACGGGAACGCCCTGCTTGATTCAGTCATATGGGTATACTATTCGACCACAGCACTGCTTAAGAAATTAAGCATAAAAAGAAGTGCGATGGCCTCGAAGAGTCGGCATCAGACTTTACTAGCCCCAGCAGGGGTCGTTCCAATTTTAACTGATGTCCTCGAGGACTGGCCCCCTTTTTCTGGGCCGCACATAAGCCGCCTTTGCTTTTCGTGCTGTGTTTTTCCTGGCCTTCGGCGCATCCATTTTTTTCTTTCCACCACCTTGAGATATCCACATCGAGCGCATCAGGCCCAAGTAGTTCATTTCAGTCACCATGTCTCTGGATTTGAACTCAGGTCTGCCTATGGAAAGATCATTGGTGTACCAGCTAATATGGGTCTGTTATGTTTTGCGCCCAATTTTGTCAGAGCTAATATCCACATCAAAATCTGCTCTGCACCTGCAACAACACTTCGGTATCAAGCCGCCAAATGCAGAGGCCGTCTATGGTACTCGCAAGCGCCGCAATTTTGTTCTGGGTTTTCTTTTTGTGCTGCTTTACAATTTAGGGCCTGTTACTTGCATACGGCGCATTCTCTTTCGTGTTTCTTTTTTTTTCTCGGGTTCTTTTCAGACAACGATTGCCGCAGATCAATGTCGGGCCCTTCCATAGCGAAAGCAAACGCCCGACGTTGAGAGGCCCCTTCCATAGCGGATTAAGGTCAGCCCCTTCCATACCGAATCAGGGAGAAGGAAAAACGATTACTCGTCGTCAGTCTAGGATGGCAACGACCCGACAGATATTGAGCTACGCGCCGATCCTGGCCGCCCACTTCAAGATCCAAAGACCCAGACAGAAAGAAAAGAACTCGGCTCACGGCAGAGCCCACACGGCCCACTTAGCTATAGAGTGTAGAGGTTGCTGGGACAAGTTTTGAGGATGACACTTGTGCTATTTGTATGTGTATCAGTGTTTTCCTGATTGGGTGCATATAATCACCCAGTCCCTTAAAGTCACACAATCACAACATCAGAAGCCAGATCGAGCCGTCCTCCTTTTGCAAGGACTCGGTCTGTACACTGATCTTGCGGTTTGGCGATTTCAAGGGCCCAGTGCGAATATCCCCTTTGTGCACTACGCACACCGCTGACCTGTCGATGACACATATTTCATGGTAGGTGACAGCCCATGAGTGGTTCTTCACTCATTGGACCAAGATAAGCTCTGACAGCACACAGACAAGCTGAGTATGATATGTTTCACCACTTCCTGTTGTTACACCAGAATAACAGAAGGATCATTGGTGAACATTCTCATCTACATGAAAAAAAAAAACAAAAAAAAACAGAAGGATCGTTGGGGGGGGGGGAACAAAAGACAAAAATGAACATGGCCACAGCTCCACTTCCCAGAACACCATCTGGCTATCCACGTGTCCAGATCTGGATAATGGTCCAGATGACCACCAGTCTGGATAAAAAAGTAAACATACCTTTCTCGGCCTTCAGGGGTAAGATCGATCGAAGTGTACAAGTGTCTGTTCTGATCACTGTACTTACGCAAAGCTCGAAAAGTCTGGCCAAATGCCTGTCTTCTACCAAAACAGGCATAGCTCAGTTGGTACACCCTGAGGCCGAGAAACAGAGACTGTCGAAACAGAGACTCGAGTTCGAATCTAGATACTATCACAATGAACAGAATTAAATCGTTCTGAATAACCTGGGGCCCGGTCAGTTCAATGATAATGATATATATATATCAAGGCCGTCGCACCTCGAAAAAAAGTAAAAAAAAAAAGAAGAAAAAGAACAAAAAGATACGCCTCCCACATTACAAAAATACCAAAAAAGCATTTTGAAAACACACAGGAATAATGCAATTTCAGGTTTAAAAAAAAAAAAAAGTCCACAAACAAGCAAATGGGTCAGCAGCCCCAGCTCGACGGCCTGGATCTTCAGATGGCATTCCGACCCAACTCCCGATTCCAATCCGGCATATAAGCAAACGTACATAATTCAAAAAACTGCTAACCAAGAGAAGCACGGGTAGCAAAGCAAAGCAAAGCATTCAGCCACCAACACAACAATTATTTAACGCAGAGGATCAACTCGTGCGGCTGTGTGTCGTGACGACTTACCAGCCACACACTACCCAAGTTCGATCAAGTTCATCTCTAAATGTGCAAAAGCTACTCGCTGGGTCGAACACAATCGCAACGTCCTGACTGTAGCGAGGTCATTCCGCTATTGCAGTAGTCAAACTCCGTTCGGTCACGTTCAGCTCCACATGTGCAAAAGCTACTAATGAGGTCATTCCGCTATTGCAGTAGTCAAACTCAGTTCAATCACGTTCAGCTCTACATGTGCAAAAGCTACTAGCCGGCTCAAACACAAACCCTCAAACACAAACCCAACGTACTGACTGTAGCGAGGTCAGTCTTGCGTATCGCAGTCGAACTCACAGCTTGCACGGACTTTGCCGGAAGGCAACAAGGAACCCAGTGTCCAATGAAAGAATGATTTAAGAATCCCTCTGTGGGTGCGAAGTTGCTAACCGATTCACAGCAATAAGGGGAGTGTGTGGGCTTCTTCACCCTAGTACTACCTGAAGCAGACGTACGTTCACAGCTCATGAGAGAGCTGTGTTGTGTAGCCACGGCTCATCGGACTTTGGCCTGGCTGTATATCACTAAGATTTTTACCACTTTGAGACAAAAAACTGGCCTATGCTATCACAATGAACGTCGGTCCTGAAACAAAAAACAAAAAACAAAACTGACAAAACCACAGCAGAGCCCACCAGATCATATAACTTTGAAAGGAGGCTCGCGGGAGGACGGAACCTTTCAGACTCTAGAATCACATAACATATGGCAGACATAAGAAAACACATTTGGTAGGTTGACGCAACCTTTCACACCCTAGAACCAACATCCCGCAGGCGTAACAGCAACCATTTGGTGGGTAGACGGAACCTTTCACCCTCCCCAATCACACATACATATGGCTGACGTAAGAGCGACCATTTCAATTTAGTTCGACCATTCATCCCCATACCAATGTGGACGATGGGCCAACCATTCACTCACCAGTAGTGCTAGGCAACAAACCACTTGGCACTACGCTCCGTGAACACTCTCTCAAACAAGGCACGCCCACTTGGCAGGCATCCTCTACTTCATCGCAATGTCACGATCAGTTCCCTTCCCTCCGCATTCAGATGCAGTCGGCCAGCTGGCCCTTGCTGCAGGACTACCAGCAGCATGAACAAAAACACAGGCATTGCCATATGAAGGAAACGCCACCCCTGCAATCACGTGGCGAAACCCAAGGATGGCACTCCCACACAAACCCCTGCAGAGAAGTATTGCAAGCTTTAAGACGTGAAAAGCCAAAACAGGCAGCAACAACATGGGGAGAGGAGCGAAGAATACAGAAACTAATATCCCAGTGAATCGGAATGGGGTAAGAAACGGCTGACAGAGGGAACAAAGCAGCAGAGCTATAGATACGTTCGACAATAAAAGATTGTCCGTGAGTGGCGAGCATACATCAATCAACTATAAAGCTCAAGTGCTACACAACAAAGGAGCTACGATTGACAAACTATCATAGAAGAGTTCGTTAAAATATACGGATCGGATCAGAGAGAAATTACAGAGCCACCCACAATTCCACAAATAAGGAACTACCTACGTACGAGAGAGCTGCTGCAACGGGGACTGCCTGCTTTGCAGCCCATGCAAGAGAGAGCGAGCAATGCTCGGTATACTGTATGAAGCGTCCAACCCACCATATTTACATCATTTCCAGGTGGAAGGATACATTTCCATGCGAAACTTGAGACGAACACATAAGCGTCTGTATGACGTTAACGACTGTCATCCTTCCTCTCCAAACTCCTTGGTAAATCTCTCATGAACCTCAAGATCTGACTTGCTGACTGTCGGCCTCTGCCTGGCCAAAACCTTCAAGAAGTCTGACTTGACAATCGGCGGCGGCAAAATCTGCCACACAAAAGAACAGAGAGGCAACGGTGAACCGTTTTAGTGCACGCCAACCATACACCTGGCTTCTTTACCGGGGGGGACCACCCACCCTCCACGCATACGGGATTACCTTCACTTACAAGGAAACGGTCATGTGCTCTGTTGTCTCTTTTTGCTTGCACTGACACATCCCTTGCTACGCAGTCTGATACCACGAGTTTCACATGCCTCTCTCGTTGCTTGCACAGAAACATTCCTTGCTACTCGGTATGATGCGAAAAGATTTAAAGCAAAACAATACTGTCCCGTGCCTACCTACAAGTACATAAACAAAACCAGAACAAAGAATCACCAAAGTCGCGAACAAACAGACCCTGCCAAGCACAGGAAAGCTGAAAACAGCAATCTGGCTCATCAGACTTATGAATCAGCACACACATACAACAGCAATCTGGCTCATCAAACTTATGAATCAGCACACACATACATCATCACACATAGTGCAACACGACGGGATGCACACAAAAGAAAGATCCCTCTTTGCCAGCACACACAGCAAAAAAACCGCAGACGAAGCAGAGCAAAAGCAGAAGAAGCAGCAGCAGCATAAGCAGAAACAGCAGAAGCAGCAGAAGAAGCATCAGAAGCAGAAGCACCAGAAGAAGCACCAGAAGAAGCAGCGGCAGCAGCAGAAGCAGCAGCAGAAGAAGGCAATGACGGAGAGGACAAAGACGAAGAAGATGAAGACTACGACAACGAAGGAGAAGACTAAGGCGAAGACAAAGAAGAAGAAGAAGAGAAGAAGGAGAAGAAGCTGTGCCACATGGCAGACTTTCACACCCCAACCCCCCCCTTGTGTGACAGATAACAGCAACATCCCACGACCCGCCCAAGGCGAGACGGGATGGAAACCTGCCCACACACACACACACAGAGAGAGAGAGAGAGAGAGAGAGAGAGAGAGAGAGAGAGAGAGAGAGAGAGAGAGAGAGAGAGAGAGAGAGCACCAACATCTGGCATCCGGACATCCTGGTCAAGTAGCAAATAGCCAACAAAAACACTTTCAGTGAAAATACCACAAAATGTCAACAAAAATAAAGGCCCCAGTCAAACCCATTGCTTGCATTCCATCCCAGGGTTTTGATAAATCTGCATCACGTTCGTGCTGCCACTTTCTTCAGAAGCTGAACTAGCCAAACTGCAACACCTGGAAGCCAGGTTTTCTATAAGCGCATGCGCCCATAGGGCACAAGGGGCCAAAAGGAATGAAGCATAAAATACCCTTTCAGAACCTGCCAACCAGATGCCCAGAGGTTTCAGAGAGAGAGAAACAGAGGATTCTGCATAATCTCACAAGTCAAGGACGCGCATACCTACGTATAGCCACATGGGTATATACTGTACTTGCTGCACACCTCGTGCACTGCGCATGCGCACCCATGCCTGCGCAAGTGGTGCAGAACACCCATGAAAATAAGGGTTGTCCAATTATATTTCCAACTAGATGACCTGTTGCAGCTTCCCTCGCAAAAACAAATGTGACAGGTGATGCACTGAGGATGATGCAAACTCTCTCTCTCTCTCTCTCTCTCTCTCTCTCTCTCTCTCTCTCTCTCTCTCTCACACACACACACACACACACACACACAGCTTCGCTCGCAAAAACAAATGTGACA